AGTGCCGTGCCATCACAGCTCACAGCAACCTCAAACTCTTGGGCTTAAGCGATTCTCTTGCCTCAGCCTCCCAAGTAGCTGGGACTACAGGCGCCGGTCACAACAGCCAGCTATTTTTTGTTGCAGTTGTCACTGTTTAACTGGCCCGGGCTAGGCTTGAACCTGCCAGCATGTGCATGCGGCTGGCTCCATAACCACTGTGCTATGGGTGCTGAGCCATACTTTTTGCTTTTAAAACTTACTACAAAACCACAGTAATCAATATAGTATGAGGATACTAGCATAAGGATAAAGACATTATAGATCAATGGAATAGAACTGTGAGTCCAGAAATGAACCAACATGTTTATAGCCAACTGACTTTTTTTTTTTTTCTTTTCCTGAGACAGAGCCTCAAGCTGTCACCCTGGGTAGAGTGCTGTGGCATCACAGTTCACAGCAACCTCCAACTGCTGGGCTCAAGCGATTCTCCTGCCTCTGCCTCCCAAGTAGCTGAGACTACAGGTGCCTGCCACAACACCAGGCTATTTTGTTGTTGCTGTTGTTGCAGCTGTCATTGTTGTTTGGCAGGCCCGGGCTGTATTTGAACCTGCTAGCTCAGGAGTATGTGGCTGGTGCCTTAGCCGCTTGAGCCACAGGTGCCAAGCCTGTAAAAATATTCATAGCTAGGCCACAATATGAAATGTGGGACTTACATGGGTAAAGTTTCTTTAAATGTCTCAATCCTTAGGCCCTTCAGAGACTTGTAGGCCTCACTCTGTTCCAGCCCAACTTACACTCAGCAACTGATTCACCTATCTAAACTTCTTGGGCTGTCAGGCTGGCTCCATATGCAAATATGTTAGCGCTGCTTTACTGTCCCTAAACAAAGTGCCCTACACCTGCCCCACTCTAAGACCAGCTCCCTTGACCCTGTGCCACATGGTTTCCACCTGATTTTCTGCTCTTCTCCTTCCAGGCAGGCTCCTCACTTACTGCTCTCCAAGCATGGTGGCCACTTCCATCCTTCAATCCCACTGCAGTCCCCATTTCCGCAATGCCTTCACCACCATCTTTCCACAGGCAGCAGCATCACATCCTGGGCAAGCTCTCATCATATAGAAAGTCCTCGTTGTTGCCTAATTTTGTGGCTATTCTTATATGTCCATTATTTTCACTCCTAAGCTGCAAGTTCCAATGACTGTGGGAATCATTATTTATACAATTATTATACAATTATTATTTAACAATCTTGCTCATCTTATTTAGCCTTTCTTTGTCTCATCTAAAACGTGGGGAATATTTACATGACAGGGTCACTGTGAAGATTAAATGAGTTAACACTTGAAAAGAGTTTGGCATGTGTCTGGCAGACATTAAGGGCCCAGTCCACGTTAACAGCTAGTATTATTTTGTCTGCACAGTGCTTAGCACATCCCTTATTTGTAGTCTCATAGTACATGTATGCAAGTGAATAAATTATCCCACATTAATGTGAGGTCTCTGAAAGTTTCTATTTCTGTAGGAGGGCTCCTTGCTTCCTTCAATTCATCTGCTTCTGGGAACTGGGAACTGCATCCTTTATTTAGGCAATTTAAGACAGAGTGGGAGAGCTCACAATTATCACTCAAAGTATTAGCAGCAATTGTTGGAAAACTCAACTCCTGTCTCTAGGAGTCCCTGGCGCACAAGTCAGCAGCACTGCAAGAAAAGCAGTGGGAGCAAAGCGCGGGGGCGGCCCTTGCAGCCAGCAGTGCACCGCTCCTCAGCCTCACTTTTCCTTCCCCTCTTGGCCTATTTTCCCTACCCTCACATCTCTCTCTTTTTAAATTATCTTCTCCTCTCTATCTGAAAATGAAATTTAAAAAATGAAATGGGAGAAAGAAAAGGGGAAGGCTGTGCCTCTTGGGGGAAAACAGCCCTCACTCCCGTGGCCAGGGGGCTGGGGTCCCCAGCGGACAGGTGTGCGCCGCTGGACCGCTGCTTCCAGGGCTGGTGTACTGGCTTCTGGGTAGCTTTCCTACTCTGCCTACTCCAATGAAAGGTCGTTGTTAAAGTTTTGTGTAAACAAAGCAAAATTTAAGCTGGCAGCTACAACAGAAATAACAGGCAGCTGGAATTCTGTAGCATTTTTTGACTTTTGAAAGGAAAGAAACAGCTTGTGCCTAAGTAGTTAAGGAAACCAGGAATCCAGCAGTCTGATAATGCCAGCTGTCTCCTTAGAGTGAAAGCGGCGAAGAGGCGTGTGTGGTCTCTGCTTCCACCTTGCTTCGGAGGTCTCTCTGTGGGCTGACCGTGCCCAGGTCCGGCCCTCAGCCTCGCTGCTCTGGGTAACTGTCCGGTCCCCCTGTACTGTGGATGCTCTTGGCCTTATAGGCTCCCTGGGAAACGCTCCGCCTCCAGAATCAAGCCACAACCTCTTTTGACAACAGATGATTCTGTGTTGATCCATGGGGTTTATGTTATCGTGATGCAGAGTCTGAAATTTTAGGCCCAGCTGTGCAGGAACATCGTGTGTGCATCAGTGTCCTCGTTGTGTGTGCCAGTGAGGTGCGCACTCATGCTTCCCTCTGTCAAATTCTCTAAGTCCAACATGCACAATAAAACATGCCTGGGAAATGAAAAGCCACATCTCAAAACTGTAAGTGTGCCAGACCCAGAGCTACGGAAGCACACCGCAGAACGTGAAAATTCTGATCTTTCCCTTAAATCTGTTGATTAGGTACATATAGCCATGTTTATACCTCTGTCAGAAACCTGAATTATACTATTTTTAGGCCTGTCCTCTTCTATATCTTTATTTTAGGCACATCCCTGCACAAAGTTCCTTCAACCTCAAAACAGTCCTTATACACAAGAAGTTATGCGGGCTGGAAATAAGGAGTTTCCGGTTTCAGTGGCCACACAGGTCTCCTCCTTGAGAACTGCTGCCAAGTCAAAGGGCCCAGAGATTCTTTTTCTTTTCATTCTCTATTTCTCAGTTCTAGTGACAGCTTGAGGCTCTGTCTGTTTAACTATTTTCTGTTAACTATCTTCTGTTAGTTTAACAGAAGTGACAGCTTGAGGCTCTGTCTGTTTAACTATTTTCTGTTAGCCTCTTTTGTTTAACTATTTTCATTCTGCACTTTAGGCCTTTCTCTTTCAACAGAGACCATAAAGGAAAACTCCATTCTGAAGGGCCAGACTCAGTACTGGGCCCAGAGTAATAAAAGCCACATGCACACATTCTAGTAAGCTTCTGTGTTATCTGACAGCCAGGGTCGTGCGTCTGTGTTCCTCCAGCAGGCTGAGGCTGCAGAATCTCACAGGAAAGCAAACAGCAAAAGGTAATGCTGCCACTGGGAGGGTTTTTAGGGTTCTGTGACAAGTTTCCATTCTAGTTCCTCCCATCTGCAATTTTAGCAATTGTGACAAAGATGAATAATAGACAATTCAACAAAATAAAACATACGGCAAGGGTTCTAAAGCCAAGCTTTTACTCTGGTGCCACCTTATAGTAGCAGAAGTTATGATTGTGATGGCAAAGGCAATATAGAGAATCAAAAAAGAGCTGGCACAAATCACGTCTTTATGCCGCTAATGACTTGCTTTCCTCGCTGTCATCACAGCTGCTTCTGCAGATGAGGAGGAAATCAGAGTCGTAAGTCCATTGAGCCATTTGCTGTTCCTTCTAGTTCAGATAAAGCTGTCAGACCCTGAAACAAGGTTGAACTCTTCCCAGAGGCACCTTCTGGTGTTATTTTCCACTTTCTCTTCTACTTCTACCCTGGGCTCACAAACAGGGGACCCAGATATACCTGCTAAGTACACAGATGTCAAGTAGGGTGGGCTTGGGAGTCCAATTACAAATAGTTCAGAATGGAACATAGAAAATATGATTTCTCATTATAATGGAGTTAAGTTTAATCGATGCCTTACTGTGATGGATTGCACTAATTATATTTTAAATGAATAATATTGGCTCGGCGCCTGTGGCTCAAGTGGCTAAGGCACCAGCCACATACACCTAAGGTGGCAGGTTCAAATCCAGCCTGGGGCCTGCCAAACAACAATGACAGCTGCAACCAAAAAATAACTAGGCATTGTGGCGGGCGCCTGTAGTCCCAGTTACGTGGGAGGCAGAGGCAGAAGACTCGCTTGAGCCCAGGAGTTGGAGGTTGCTGTGAGCTGTGATGCCACAGCACTCTACCCAGGGCAACAGCTTGAGGGTCTGTCTCAAAAAAAATAAAAAGAACAATATTTATCTGATTCCTGCTCTAAACATTTTCTACAGGTTCCTCTGATTATTACTGCATTTGGGGAGGGCAGAATCAGTGCTCCTTAATTTCATTTTGAAGGAATGGCCTACAAGCTCCTCTACTTTTAATAATGTATTTTTAAGTCTTGAATTCCGACCCAGAGGTCTCCTTCCAATCTCACTGTTACCTCTCCCTCTAATAAAAGATATAAAGTCTATGATATCTCAAATTTCAAAAGTAAAGAGCCAGGTAACGCCGTGGTACAAAAGGACCTTATTTCATGGCCAAGGTTGTGTTTCTCAAACTCAGCACATGTGTGTGGAGATTTGGTTGAGGTGCTGACTCTGACGCCTTGGAGCTGAGGAGGCCTGAGATGCTGCAGCTCTGCCTAGCCCCTGCACCATGGGCCACACCCTGAGTGACAAGGTCTTTGAGTAGGGAGTCTGTTTGCTCTTTTTCATTTTCCTTACCCAGATTGGCTTTCTACACATAAGAAATAAATTAATAGTAGATGTTTGTTTAAGTGATTTTGGTTTTGCCCCAGTTGTTATGTTGTTCCTCCATTGTGTATTAGAGATGAAAATACAAGAGCCTAAAGAGAGAGCTGTGACCCCTCTCTCCTATACCTCTCAGTGGGAGAGATGAATATCTGGCATCTCTATTTTTCTCTTCATATTACTAAAAAGCTTTTGAATACCTTGTTCAGAAAGTTAATGATTTGCTTCTCCTTTATTTTCAGTGGTAAGCTAGTTTTACCTTTGTGATTCAGAGCATTATGGGCTGTCCACTTCACTTTATAGAAGCCTTGGAATCTGCTCTCCTAGATCCATATTGCTTCTACTCATTTTCAGGGATTTCAGGGACCATTTGCCTTTTCTTTTTTGTATGCAAAATTCCCATCCATGTGTGGACCCACTTGGTGTACTTGAAGGGTACACCTGACACTTCAAGCACTTGACCTGTGCCTGAGCTGGACCCTGCACTGTACATCTCCAACTATGTTTGTCAAGCTTTCTGCAAGACTCATCCAGAATGGACACATAAACATAAGTTTCAGCAGAGGGGAGAAGGTCCTGGTTGCATTCTGAGTGCTAAAATGGATGATATCTGGATACTTAACACAGGTTAAGTATTATTTGCTGCTGTATCCTGTATGCTCATGCTATCCAGGGCCTGGCACATAATAGGTGCTCAATAATTGCTTCTAAATGAATGAATGGAAATATGTTGATGTTATAAATGAAGGCATAGCTATAGGTATAGCACCAGCCAATTATTATCTCAATTTTTACAATTATTCATAGAAACAAGATAAGGTAGTCACTCTCACCACTTCTATTCAACACAGTACCAAAGTGCTAGTCAAAGTAATTAAACATAAAAAAGAGGAAAATGTATTCAAATGAGAAAGCAAGGACTAAAATTGACTCTCTGTGTAGAGGACACAATCATATATGTATATAATAAAAATATGTAATGACTCTACCCCCCCCAAAATGATAGAACTAATAACTAAATTGAATAAAGTTGCAGGATACATAGTCAACATACAAAAATCATTTGTGCTCCTAAACACTAACAAGAATCTGAAAAAGAAACTAAGAAAACAATCCCATTTACTACTGCATCAAAAAGAAAAAATAAATAACCAAGGATGTGAAAGGTCTGTATACTAAAACCTATAAAATATTGGTGAAAGACATTGAAGACACAAATAATAGAAATTATCCCACATTCATAGATCCAGAGAATTAATATTATTAAAATGTCCATTCTACCCAAAGCAATCTATACCCTCAGTGCAATTCCTATCAATCCCAATGGCATTTTTCACAGAAATATAAAACACAGTTTCAAAATTTGTGTATGGATTCATAAAGACCAGGAATAGCCAAAGCAATCTTAAGAAAGAACAATCCTGAAGATATCACATTTCCTGATTGCAAACTATATTAAAAAACTATAGTAATAAAAACAGTATGATATTGGCATAAAAATAGACAATAAACCAAAAGAACAGAACAGAAAACCCAGAAACAAACCCACACATATATGGTCAATAAATTTGATGAGGGTGTCAGAAATACATACTAGGGAAAGAATATTCTCTTCAATAAATGGTATTGGGAAAACTGAATATCTACATGCAGAAGAATAAACCTGGACCCTAATTTTACACCACTCACAAAAAAATAACTTAAAATGGATTAAAAACTTAAATTTAAGATCTAAAGCATTAGAACTATCAGAAGAGAGCATAACAGAAAATTCCTAAACATGTGTGTTGACAGTGATATCTAGGATATGACACCAAAAGCATATGCCACAACAGCAAATTAAACAGCAAGCTTACATCAAATGGAAATGCTTCTGCATAATGAAGAAAACAATCAGAAATGAAAAGGTAGCTTGAGAAATGGTAAAAATATTTGCAAATCATATACCTGACAAGGAATTAACATATAAAATATATAGAGAACTCCTACAACTTAACAGCAAAAAAAAAAAAAAATGATTTAAGATGAGCAAAGAACTTGAATAGAAAATTTTCCATAGAAAACATTCACGTGGTCAACAGGCATATAAAAAGGTGTTCAACCTTACTGATCATCAGGGAAATGCAAATCAATATCACAATAAAATCTCACTTCACTCCTTTTAAATATAAATATAAACTGGTAGAGCCATTATTGAGAGCAGTATGGTGGTTCCTCAAAAACTTAAAAGTACAACTACCATACAAGGAATTCTATCTCTGGGTATGTATCCAAAGGAAATAGGAACATATTTCAAAAAGACACCTGCACCCCCACATTCACTGCAGTGTTGTCCACGATAGATAAAACATGCAAACAAGTGTCAGTCAACAAGTAAATGGATAAAGAAAACATAATGTGTGTCTGCACACACAATGAAATATTACTCAACTTTTGACAAAAAGGAAATCGTGTCATTTGCAACATGGATGGAACTTGAGAGCATTTGTGCTAAGTGAAATAAGTATAGAGAGAAAGACAAACACAGCGCGATCCCACTTGCATGTGGAGCCTGAAAAGGTCAAAGTCACAGAAACAGAGAGAAGTACAGTTGCTACTGAGGGCTTCAGGGATGGTGCAAATGGAGTTACTGGTCCAAAGCACAAAGTTATAGTTGTTAAGATAAATAAGTTTTGGGGATCTAATGTACAGCACAGGGACTGTAGCTAACAATACTGTACTTGAACTGTGCTTACACAGTAGATCTTGAATATTCTCCCTACACACACCACAAAGGCAAATCTGTAAGGTGGGGGGTGTTAACTGACTTGATTGTGGTAAACAGTCTATCCATACATCAAATCATCACATTATGTTCCTTAAACTTATACCAAATTATTTGTGAGTTGTACCTCAACAAAGCTGGAAAAAATAATTTTTTTTACATAAAGTGATAAGAAACACTGATCTTTTATGAATGGTGAATATGCATCATTTTATCTTGTTCTAAGTTTAAGAGGTTATAAGAATATAGTATTTTTCCCCAGGGGTAGGCATGTTAAGATGAACCAACTGTGAATTTTAAAACTAAACTTTGGTATGATGCTTTGCAATGCTAGTTTGCAGTTTTGGATTGAAGTTGAGGGTTTGTTTAGTTTATCAATTACATTTTATAAAATAAAAAATTAACTAATAGAGACAGACACTAAGAACTTTTTGCAGAAATTGATGATGTAACATCCTTAGTATTTTAAATGCTACTTAAAGACAGACATCTTAATTTGGCTTCTACCTCATGAAATCAGAAAGGTATAGATGCTCTGTGCCTTGAAAAATTCATAGAAGAATTTCCCCCACGATTTCTATTCCTACCCCAGCAGATATATGCCAATATCAAGCTTGGCTTTCTAATGTTATACATGGGAGCTAATGATAATACCAATGATATGCAAATAATAGGGTACTTTCCCATTTTACAAGGAGAAGACTGAGACTACAGAGTTTTTATAACTTGCACCAGGTCACACAGCTAAGGAGGAGTAGAGCCAGACTCAGGCCCCAGAGCTGTTTCTCCCAATCAGTCCGGATTCTTCTTGGCCCTTCCCAGACCAGCTGTGCAGCCTCTGCCTCTTGCCAGTTCCTTCAGGTACGTGTCTCTGGCCTCTGGGAGGATTGCCACAGGGTCTCTGAGAAAAGAGCACAGGTGAGCTGATTCTAAATTCCTCTGGCTGATGATGATGTTGATCCTTGGTGGGTTGAACAGCCTTCTTTTGGAGAGAGATCTTTCCCACTGCAAATGCTCATGCTGCCTTTATGAATCAGATTAGTATCATATTAAGGTCAAGTGAATGTAGGCAATGTTAGGCAGTTATTTTCTAGGTTGATCCTATCCACCCAACCAGCAAAGTGAGAATACAAGAATTTGGCACTCTCGATGCCTTTTGTGGTCCATTCTGTCCTCTTCAACTTCTGCACAAGTCTGCAAAGGAAATCCTGTGCATTTTTAGGAACAAGAGTTGATTTTACTAGGGGGCCTGCCAAGAACTGAGGGCATCTGGAAGTTTAGCATTTGAGATTTCTCCCTTGTGGTGAACATCCCATACTTTTTAAAGTCCTGTGTTAAAAGGAACATGTGCCTAGGACCACCCCACTCTAAATGCTGGCATTGATAAACCCTCACCACGCACAGTTCATCAGCCATCAACCCTCGCTTTGGGCATTATACTCAGAATACCGAGGCTTAATGTGAGAGGGAGGGCAGGAAGAAGGAGGGAAGCAGACTCGTGCAGAGCTGAGTGACAAACTCCGTGGAGACACAGCAGTGAGGTCTGGGGAGAGAGAAAATGAAAGGAAAACAAGACAAACTGAGCTCAAAAGCGACATTCTCCACCTTCAGAATTTTGCCATTCCCATCTTGCTCAGGACACAGTTTCTTGGTGTGTGAGTTCTCAGCCAGGTGTTAAGGACCAACAGAAATGTAAAGCATTTCTCAGAGTAAACTGATGATATCAGAATCACCCAGGGTTCTTGTTAAAGCAAATTTTTGGGTGCCATCTGAGCCCTGCTATTTCAGAAACCCTGAGTTGCAGGCATAGAATGTGCATTTTTAGCACACATCCCAAGAAATTCTGGTAACTAATGAAGTTTGAGAATTATACTTTACTTTTTAAAAAATTCTCTTCCTAGTACAAGATACTCTTAATGTAACCACAGAAGAGTCTCAGTTTCCCCATTTACATAAAATATAGAACTAATTTGGGTGAGAACGCTAGATAACTTTAATAAGCAGCATTTCCTTGATTAATATTTTGGATGACTTGACACTGTGTAACCCACAATGGCGGCAGGCTGTGTTCTGTGAGCAGGGTGGGTGGCTGGCATTCTGTCATGACAATATACCACTGTCCCCAGCCTGGGAGGCACACTGTAGCCTGACCAACTGTGCTGTGATGTAGAAAGCTCAGCTGCATTAGCTAGCAGGGAAATGAGTGTAGCATTTATCAAAATTTCAAGAAATTCACAATTCTCTTAGAAGGAAAAGTGGATCATTTGTCCAGACACAGAATTCTACAGTGATTCTCTATTTAATGAAGGCGTCCACATAAAGTTATATTGTTAGGTGCCCCACATGTTAAGAGTGATGAGCAATATTTTTAAAATTCTATTAAAAACTATAATATTACAATTATACTACTGATTCACATCTCTATATAAACAAAATACCGACAATGCTTTTAAAACCTGAATTTTTAAGTGTCATCTTGACGATTAATATTCTTTTATGTAAATTTAGTACATACTAGAAAATTCAAGAGTCATAAAGACTTGTTAAAAAAAATAAGTGATGGTTTGAAGATGATTTGGGGAAATACTAGTTATTGTACTGCATTGTAAAGAATTGTAGCACAACGTCATGTTATAAAGGAAGATCATTCTTTGTAAGAGTTTTTTCTATAAGTTCCAAACTATGTTTTCAGAAATGAATCAGGAATTCCCTCAGGAACCACCAGATCTATTTTTCTTTCATTCCCTGGCTGTACTGTCCTGGTAAAACCTAGGTCACCTTGTTAGAGGCAGACAGGGAAGGTATGTGAATGTTCAGCATTAGACCC